GAGGCTGAGAGGCAGAGAGAGAGGCAGAGAGGCAGAGAGGCAGAGAGAGAGGCAGAGAGGCAGAGAGAGAGGCAGAGAGGCAGAGAGAGAGGCAGAGAGGCAGAGAGGCAGAGAGGCAGAGAGGCAGAGAGGCAGAGAGGCAGAGGCAGGATGGTTGCCATGAGTTTCAGGCCACCTAGACTACATAATGAATAACAAGAAATTTGAACATTTGAGTCCCTCCTTCATGGTCTATTACTCCCAGGACTAATTATAGCCCTTGGAAAGGTGAGGGCGGGGCTGGAGAGAAGACTCATCAGTAAAAGCATTTTCTGTTCTTGCAGACAATCAAGAGTTCAGTTCGTAACACCGATATGGTGCCTCACAACCACCTGTAACTCAAGTTTCAAGGGATCCAACAACTTCTCAACACACAGTGTACATACTCATGCATGGTCACAGACATATACCCAAATAACATTAAATAAGACATTTTTAAAAGGTGAGGAACTTTTTCTTCAAGTACTAGAAACTTAGTTGTTAGCAATGTTGTTATTTTCATAGTTATTGTTTATATTTGTTTCCTCCTGTTTCTCATACCATCAACAGCTACTTACCTTTGTTTTCCTCTTTATGTATGCAGAACCCTGGAACAATGTATGGAACAATACTTTTATAATGGGACGTAGTGATTCTCAGTTTTGGACAAACATCAGAATCTTGGGGGTAACCAGTGCCAGGATCCCACCTCAAATACACCAAGATAGGATCTCTTTGACATGGGAGTTGAAACTCTATCTCCCCCCCACAACACCCCCCCCCCAAATGATTCTGCTGAAATTTTAGGTCTGGCACCAACTGTCACAAATGTAAGCTTAATCTTGCTTTATATCTTCAGCTGGTAGGCATGGCCTCTTCAATTTGCTCCAAGAATGCTTTCAATATTTGAAGTACTACTATGTTGGCTAGCCTTTCAAGTATCTAGGGACAGCTCACTGACCCACAAATCCCCCTTTGACCAATTGAATAGGTACAGCTTCTTAGTGGAGAAGAAGATTTCAGGAGGCCTTGCTTTCCCTGGTGTGCCTTCTAGGGGTGACTGGATAGGTTGCCTCGGGTTAATTAGAGGCTTTTGGATGTGCACTCAGCTATGTTACAGTTCGGGACAAAGACACCAGGGCAGCTGAGTCACAGGGGAAGAGAGACTGGGGTGGGGGAAGGTTAGTAGTGTCTTGGTTCAGAGTTATGGCTACTCCCTCTTGGACAGCATTGCTGGACAGGATCATGTAAGAGGCCAGGAACAAAAGAAAACAAGATGGTCTTGTGAGTTCCAGGAACACTCTGTTTGTTCTTTTTCTGGAACACAAATTGACCCACATGGGTGCATCTTCTGATTGTTTCTTGGGAATTTGATAGCTCAAGTGAGAACCCAGCAGGTGTTAGTTTTTTACCTGGTTTTTAGTTATTACCACACTGTCATTACCCAGATTTCACAAATTGGAGTGTTAGCCATTCTCTGAGCTCACTTAAGAAGAATTTAAAGCAAATTCCCTAGGGACCTAGCTCCTAAGTAACACAAGAAGAATTCAGACAACATAGTCATGGTACATAACACTATACTACAGTGACATTACAGAATAAAATGACATTCCTCATAGCCACAGAAACAGGAATGGAGGAAGAGGAAACTGAAAACTATGAGGATAGTGAATTTCTTCATCACACCTGGATCACAACCAGGGAGATAGAGATGGTGACCCCACATCAAGGAGTACTTGAACCCAAATACTTAGAAAATTTTCTGTCCCCACCTCCCTGTAGGTACAGCTCTGTCTTTGGGGTCCTTCAACTCTGAAGCTCAACAGCTCCTCCAGGTGACTCACTGGTCCTTCCTTCCCTGGCCTGATTTCTTCATTGTTCTTGGGAATGGTCCCTAGAGGCAACCAGAAAGCTGGTTTTTAGAGGGGATGAGGACCTTCACACTAAAACCTCCTACTCTATATCTAAACACAGCTATACACCTGGCACACAAACAGATATACAGTGATTTTATTTTTTTTAATTTCAAAAAAGAACTCCCTTTTATTTGTTTGTGTGGTGAGTGTGTAACATATGTGGGCACCGTTCAGGGAGACCACAACACCAGGGCATCATTGGCTTCCCTGGAGCTGGAGTTACAGGAAGTTGTGAGCTGCCCATCATAGGTGCTAGGAATTGAACTCTGGTCCTCTGCAAGAGCAGTATAAGCCCTTAACCACTGAGCCAGCTCTCCAGATCTGTACTATTAAAATGTATTTATTAATAGCAGTGCAGAAATGTTTAAAAAGACTCATTGTGGGAAAATTATTGTGAGCAAAATGCTGAGGAATGCTATGCTACACTGAGTCCCTGGCTTGTCTGGATGGCACTTTGACAACCTTATTCCTCATGAGCATGTCCCTTACCTGCTTCAGAAACCCTTTCTTACCCATCATCCATCAGATGACCCTACAGAGAAAAGTTTGTTCCCATCTTCTGTCCCAGAACAATACTAGAGGACTATTCAACTCTCTCATCTCCAATGTTCTTTCAAGTACTCCCAAACATCTTTCCCAGGAATAAGTCACTCATTTCTATGTCTATTCAACCCCAAAGGACCCAAACTAGCAATTTTCAAAAATATCATTTTAGGACATTTTTACAAGTGATGGATAATAAGACTGATTTGGAAAACAGCCATAATGCTGAGTGAAATGGAGAGTTTCCACATGGCTAAGAGTACAAGATCTGATACCATGCTGCCTGAGTTCATAATCCTAGATCTATTGCTTACTTGCCATGTGACAGAAATACTGGACCTTAGTTTCCTCATCTGTGAAATGGGAATGACATTAGTAACACATTAGTGTTACTAATGTGTTTGTTGTAAAGACTAAGCATGTCAAGTTTAAGTGATATATTTTTTATTACATATGAAGCTCAGCATCAATTATAATCACTTTGGATGACAGCCAACTTTCTCCTGGACATGGTGGTGCATAAAATCACACTGGATATCATGCTTTTTTCTAAATTAATATAGAATATACAAATTATATGTACTGAGAAAATTAAAAAGATTCAAGCCACAGGGAACTTATCCTGTCCCAAACCAACAAAATTAAGAAAATATTAAAAATGCCCAAACATGGAAAAGCAAAACCCTTGCTTATACTTTCTCTTAGTTAAGTTACGTTAGTGACATAACATTGATGGTCAGTGAATCTGGGTAGCAATAAAGGCAAAGCAGGGTTTGATGATGCTCTGTGGAAACAGCAGGATACAAAGCAGTGCTCACTGTGCAGAGACAAACCAATGGGGTCAAAGCCAAAGAATGACAACTGATTCACTCCCATTTCTTAAAGAAGAGATAGAAGATAGCCCCTAAATGGAAGGCTTAGACAGATGTTCTAATACCAAGTTTCAGGGTTGATGGCCCGGTTGCTTGGAGTTCATGCTTGATTTTTAAATCTGTTTACAGAGACTAAAAGAGAGTGTTCATATAGAATTAAAGAAATCTCAACAGAGGGAGTGGTGGAACATGTCTGTGATTGCAGCATCCAGGAGGCTTAGGGAAGAGGGTTTTAGATTTGAGGCTAGTCTGGTTTATTCGTAAGAACCACTTTGTAAAATCTAAGCGGGGCTCAGTGGAAAAGCACCTACTAAGGTGCACAAGGTTGTGAGTCTGAACCCCAGAGCTGCAAGAGGTAAGATGGGACTCGGGTCGTCACATACATTATCTCAAAGTGCTCAGTGGCCTATGGTTCTTAAGAAACGCCTCCAAAACTCAAAGTTATTAAAGTTGAAGTGTTAAAAACGTGTTCCCTCCTGCTCAGCATTGGGGTGTAGCTAGTCAGTACATTTCAGAGATTTGGTACAGTTCCACTCCTCCATTTCTAACACAAGGAAGAGTGTTTTGGAAGTGATGACGTGAATGGTGGCTGATCTTTAGTTTGTCTGAAAGCACACATGGGTTTCAGTCTGACTCTGGAGGTCCCTGTCTATCAGACGCTACACTGTGTGGGACTGTACCTCTAGGCTGATTGTGTTTGAACCAGAGTCCTCAGGCAGCTGCAGATCTATGTTAGGGAGAATGAGGTGTCACACAAAGGAGAGACACAGGTGGTTAAGTGCAGGAAGAAAGATCCTATGATCAAGATGGCCTCTTTGAAGACTCATAAAGTTTTCTTTTTGGCATGCCAGAATTAAAACCTTACTTACATAAAAACTAGCAGTATGAAACATCATAATTAGCTTATATAGATTGGAGAGGCATTCTAAGAACAAATGTAATATGCGTCATAAAGTTACAAAGACAAAATGGCGACTTACAGGCAACTGTGAGACCCAGCATTTGACTAATATTATTGAAATGAATACACCATGAAAATGTGTTGTTTGGTTAACTTTCCCAAGTATGTGGCAGGGGATATCATTATAGCAGCTGAAAACAGATTTCTGACCACAGAGAAGGTCCATCTGAAGCTTCTTACCGCCCTGAAGAATACTGAGGTAGCGCAGATACATCAGGCTTTTGTGGTCTAGGACCAGAGAGGTCCCACAACCACAGATATAGCTGATGAGGAACTTCCTATAAATAATAACTGCCTCAGCCTCATTCATGGACTGCCTTTGCTGTATTGAAAGGCAGCACATTACCAGAAATGGTGGACAAGCCACTGGAGTGAGGGGTGAAGTTTACCAGAAGCTTTGTACCTGTTCTCACAGAACAAGTTTCTAAACATACCTCCCTGTGACGATGCTACCCAGAGTAAGAATTTAGACCATGGAAGCCAGGCCATAGAGTCACTACTGATGTGTTCCTCTAACTCCCTCCCCATCCCACAATTTATTGATCCACTTCCCTTAATTCTCTGATAGGCAGGAAGTAGATACAGAGGGATGGGCAGACTCTGCGCTTGTGTTAGCATTTAAAGGTCAGGTCTCCTTGTATCATAAATAGTACTATCTCCCATCCACACATATGAAAAGGAGAGTTGTGAGGATTACTGGCAGAGGAGGGAACGTTTGAAAGTTCATTTGGGAAAAAAAAACTTCATTTATTGCAATTCTGATGAATGCTGTAATAGAGAAAGCTTATGCTATGGACTGAAAAATAAAGTAAAAGGACAGACCCACTCAACTATTCTTTTCATTGTGATTTTACTGATTTTAATATGGTTAGCCCATTCCTTAATCACTAGAGATTTTTCAAAGAACTTTAGGGACTAATCAATGACAGAAATTGGATTGAGTTTTGAAATATTTCATAACAGCCCTTTTTATTTTCCTATTCACTTTTCTTTTTGAGGTGATACGAAACTCAGGGTCTTGGAATATGTGGTAAGCTCTACCACTAAGACACACAGCCACCCCTTCAGAGTCTTTATGATTGTTTTAGTGCCACAGATTAGGTAGATACAGCCTCCAGAAGCCACTATTTATGGAAAGGGTGCATGGCCAGCCTCACTTACATCTCCCTGTTGGAAGGAGTAACTTACCTTAAAAAAAAATCTTATTTGGACACAATAGCATCTCTTGCTCTTAACCATAGTTCTTGTTGAAGATTTTTATTTGAGAATAGAAAGACCTTACCTCCCCAGTGCTTGAACCTCAGGCTTTGTCACTAACCTGTCGTTGGTTCCTAGCACAGGTGCTGGTCTGTAAATAACTGTTTTAGTTTCTAGAGTTCTTCCTACCAGTGGCAGACTTGGGCATTTTGCTTATATCATTTGATCTTTGCCACAATCCTGAAGGCAGCAGTTACATGTGCTTATTATAGATGAAGAAACTGAGGCTGAGACTGGCTTTGTTGTGGCTTCAGAATTGGCAAAGTTTGCAAATGGCTACATAGAACAGAGATTCAGGTCTTGAGAAGGGGTGCTATATGTTGCTTACTTACTTCTGATGACACATCTTGGCTTACCCCTATTGCTAAGTGTCTGTCCCTCACCCCAAGGAAGGAAGAGATGAAAGTTTTTAAAAATCTTGTAAAGACATGAAAAGAACCTTCTGTGTAGGAACACATGAGGGCGCTCTAACCTTCTCTCAGTTAAGGGAATGTTTTCTTTGGATTCCACAGCTCATGTCTTTGACACAAGCACCTTTCCTGGATCTTAGCCTCCCCCTGTTTCTAACCTCTGAAAGGTTGAGAAATGGTCCATAGCCACTCTCCTTCCTTAAGAATTGGCTACTTCCACTCTTCAGCTGCTCATTAAAGGAACTGCTGGCTCTACTCACTGTTACAATGACAGGATGGTGAAGATGGAGGGGGTGGCTTTGTGGCTACACATTCTAACTGCTCTTGAGGAAGAGCTGGGTTCTGTTCCCAGCGCCTACATCCAGCAGCCCAGAAAACCCTGTAACTCCAGTTCCAAGGGATCTGATGCCTTCCTCTGGTCTCTATGGACCACTGCACACGTGTTTACAGATCTAACTGACCACATTTGCAAAGCAACAAAGCACACCCCAAACTGAGGTTGTGTTTATTTATGTTTGGTTCATTTGAGAATCTTTTACATTGCTGGAGAGCTGGGCAGCACATCGACTCCATTGGTGATGTTATATTTTTAATACTTGTGAGAGTTCCCTTTATTCCAAGGGCAGTCATTTTACAGTTTTGCGTGTGTATGTGGGAAAATCCAACCCCCTCAAACCACCTTCCTAGTCATTTAGTTGGGTGACTTTTTCACAGGGTAGGCAGGGCAAGATTCACAGGGCTGGAGAGCTGGTTCCATGACTAAGAGCATGCATGCATTTCTCTTGCTCTGGGGACCTGAGTTTGGTTCCTCATCCACAGTGGAGATCTTACAACACCTGTCACTCTGACTCCTTTATCCTCTTATAAAGTCTGGGGCACCTACGTTCATATGCACACATACCTTCTTCCCCATATTGAAATTACAATACTATCTTTAAAAAATCATGTGACAAACTGAAGAGGAGCCACTTGAGAGAGGTAATCGTCTTAGATCTCTTCCAAGACAAGCCAGGGTCTTCTTTCTATTCTGTGAATGAAAGAGTAAGCCATGTGCTCTGACAGATGAGAGAAGGAAGGAAAAGCCAATAAGTAGCATCTAAGTTACACAAAATGATGGGATTAAAGAGAACCTCTACACCTGCCTCAGCAGGGAAAGCTAGAGCAAACACACCTCACCCTTGAAGACCAGCTTTCTGAGGAACTGTGTCTGCTAATGCTTCACGATGCTCTTTCTGTCTAGTGCAGAAGGAGTTTTCTCTGCAGAAGACTTGCTGGGTGCTTACCATACAGACCACTTAAACCACTGTGCTGCTTTTGTTCTGAGTCAGTAAAAAGCCTCATGGATGTCTGTTCTTGAAAAGGGAAAAAAAATGCAACTTGTTCAGGGAAATGGGTCAGTGGGTGGTCCTTCATATGTAAACATCCTCATAGTACCATGCATTAGAGACCTGGCATGGAATCAGACAGTCTTGGATGAAAAGAAAATTAGCTTTATTACAACCAAGAAAAAGAACTGAGGTTTTGGTGCAACACTGGCTTAGACACCAGCTCCATAAGTGCCTTTGTGATAAAGTGTGATAAAGTGAATTCAACAAGAGCTGGTTGTCACAGTTCTAGCACTGATACCAAGATTCTTGGGTTTGGCAACCTGTTTAGTTTCTTTGTGCCTTGATTTCTCAATCTGAAAATTGGGGGAACAGTGTACCTATATTCTTGGGTTCATAAAAATTTCACGAGGCTTATATAAGACAAAGAAACTCATGCAGAAAGCCTGGTTAATCTTAGTATTATCCTTCTGCTTCTGTTGGTGTTTAAATACTCCTTATATGAAGTGACAGGCATCTTAAGACTTTATACTTGTCTTATCTTGGGCATCAATACTTGCTTTCTGCATGTCCTAGTCTCTCCTTAAGACAACTATAAAGACCCATCCTTCATGCCTAAAGTCTCCTGGGGGGGGACAGTATTTTCAAATCTCATGTCTCTCTCTTCCTCTGTTCCTCCCTGCCACTTTTCCTACTGCCTCTTTTGAACCAGACACCAAGCATATACTGAAATGAGAGAGACATGGTTGTACATGTTTGAGAAAGAAACAGGAACCAGTTCTAGAGTGTGCATATGTAAAGGGGACACACAAAGAAGTTACTCCTGGGCTGCTTCCTGCAGGATGGATTGTAACTGGTCAAAGGAAGCAGGGTGTTGGCAGGAAGTTGGAGCAGAGAAAAGAGCAACACACAGCTGGGGTCATAAAATGAGCATGTCTCCTTCAGGGGTTTTCCTTAGGCCCTCCCTATATTGTCGCAGACTCCATATAGGATACAAAACAAAGCACAATGCTGGATACTTCTTTAGTTGGGCTGGTCTCTATTTTTACCAGATCCCTCTCCCCCACATTTCTTTAACCTGTCTCTTCTGCAGTTCCCCATGGCAGTCCTTCTTGGTTCCCTGTGTCCCCATTTCTAATTATTCTCATTTACTTCCTCCTATGCTCTTTTTGGTGTGCCCTTCCCCCACCCTTTCAAATGCTGCTCTCCAGAGTCATCTTTCTCAAAGCTACTCTTTAGCCAATTCCACCAGGACGCATTGATGCATTGATTTAGGAGGCACTGGCCATATTCTGACTTTGTTGGCTTCATCCCAACTGCTGGATATTGCTTACAAGGTATATGAACTGCAGCTCACTCACTCAAACTTGCTACAGTATCTATGATGATATTAGGTATAAAATTAGGTAATCAGAAAGGATAGTTAGTAATTGCTATATTAAATATTAGGTCTGTTTCTTACTAGGTAGCCTTCTAATGACACTGTACTTAATTTTTACTTTATCTTTTTGTTTGTTTGTTCGTTTGTTTGTTTTGAAGCATGTTCCGGCTATATAGCCCTAACTGGCCTGCTGCTCACTCAAGATGGCCTCAAATTTATGGTAGCAGTTCTGCCTCAGTCTCTTGAATGTTGAGATTATAGACATGCACCATGATGTTTTATTTATCTGTTTAATTCTTGATGAGTTAAATTTTAATGAGTTTAGTCATTTAAAAAATGTTTAACCATATCCAACTAGACATGGTGCTACCTATTCTCTTAGGTCTTAAGAGGTAGGCGTTGGGGGGCTGGAGCGGGTGCCATGAGGCAATCTCAAGGCCCATCTCAAGCAAACAAATAAATAAACCAAAAAACCCACCAGGTTTAGTGATGCACAACTGTAATCCCAACACTCAGGAGGTAGAGGCAGGAGGATTGTCGTTGCAAGTTTGAGGTAGCATGATGTCTATAAAAAAGTTTCGGATCAGCCAAGGCTATATAATAAGACCCAGTCCCCTCAACAAACAAATACAAGAATTGATTTTACTAGAGGTCTAGTCTTCACTCTTGCTTTCTCTGTAGCCTCATGGGAAAGTCTAAGGGTGTGACATGAGGTAGGATCTTTGAAAGGGTTATACATTGAGGTCAATTCCATATAGACCCTGGAGGCCAGGTGCCCAGCAGTATTGTGTAAATTGTCACATATCAGTCCCACGATTACATGTAGACCCTGGAGGCCAGGTGCCCAGCAGTGTTGTGTAAATTGTCACATATCAATCCCACGATTACATGTAGACCCTGGAGGCCAGGTGCCCAGCAGTGCTGTTTAAATTGTCACTTATCAATCCTACGGAAAAAGTTCTGTCCACAACTTCAAGTGAGTAAACAACTAGAAACTACGTATTTTTAATTTCCTATAAACACTTCCTCTGTCTTGATTATAATTTATAGCCTTGCATGGAAATAAACAATAACTGAGCACACAGCTGTTAGTGAATTCTATGAGTGTTAGCAGATGATCAGACATAGTACAGGGAATCTTGTGTTATCAACATGGGGTAAGCTTCTATATTATGCTTCCTCAATTTGGCACTTGTGGTGTAAAGACTATAATTATCTCCATTTTACAGACAGGGAAACTAAGGGACAGAAAGATGAAGTTTTTTATTTGGGTCAAGTAACTGCTAAGTTAACCTGACAGGCATTAGGAGCAAGAGTTTCACCCTGAATGATGGACATCTCTGTACTTCTTTCCAAGCAAATAAAAATGAAAAATAGGCCAGTGATTAGCCTTGGGTGAAGGGGCTTATTAAGCAAGCCTGGCAACCTATAGTTGATTCTTGGTGTTGGCACATTCTGTCTAAGCTCTGCCCCACAATTATCTGGCAACAGCCAGGCGTGCCTGATTCACTACAAAAGGGGCTGCTTGCCCCCTCCTCTCTCTCTCTTGCTCCTCTTGCCTTCCTGTTCTTTCTTTCTCCTCATTCCCTCCCCTGCCCCACCCCCTGTGTCTCCACATGCTCATGCTGGCCCCTACTCCTCTTTTCTCTCTCTCTCTCTGCCTCTATTACCCTCTTAATTCCCCTCCCTGCCCTTAATAAACTCTATTCTATATTATATCATCCTGTGGCTTGTCCCTCAGGGAGAAGGGATGCCTCAGCATGGGTCCGCAGAGGCACCCCCTTTCCCTATACCTCACCACACCTCCATAGAACATATGCCCCTCACTTTATCTTTTTATAAACATATCACTTGGGACCCATATAAAGTTGGAAGGGGAGAGCCAACTCCACAAAGTTGTCCTCTGACCTCTGCAAGCCAGTGGAGGCATGTATGGCCCCAGATACAAATCATACACACACAGACACAGAAAGACACAAAGACACAAGCACAGAAAGAGAAATAAAATTGAAATAAAAAAAACCTTCAAACCCCTAAAGATGGACACAATGTGAACATGTATCCTAATATATATATATATATATATATATATATATATATATATATATATTCACAGTGTGCTTGATAAATACGTGTAATTGTTTTATATCAATTAAAACAATGAGAAAATACAATAAGACACAAAAATAGATGAGATGCAAAAATGGCCATGTGTTCTTAAATGGAGGTGTATAGGGCAGGTATTTCTGATGGGAAACAGATTAAGATAAGATGTCATAGCACAGCCCAGACTGACCTCAAACTTGAGAACCTCTTGCCTTTACTTTGCAATTCAGGGGTTAGAACATGTTAGAGCAGTTTTGTTTTGTTCCATGTTTGGAGTTTTTTGAAAGAGGGTCTTACTCTGTAAGCTGGCCTGGCCTGGAATTTGTTATGTAGACCAGAATGACCTCTAACTCGTGTCAGTCCTAGATGGCTCTGCTGTTTATAAGCTTAAGCCATCATGCCTGGCAAGAACAGTGCATATAGAAAAGTATTTTGTCTCACAACCCAGGCATTTAATCTCTACAACTTTGATATGAATAAAACATAACTCGCATGTTAAACTATTTCAGTGGCCTGAGCTGAAAAATATAGTAAATTACAGAGTTATACTTGAGAAATGAGCCTTATGGTTAGGGAATACAGCAAAAGATTCACTTTAAAAATTCCTTTACCATTCTTGGGTGTTATTTTATTGGACTTACCCTTTCTGTCTTAATTACTTCCATGCAATCCAGTTGAAAACCTTTAGCTGGAGTCACTAAACTCCAGTCTGCCCTGTTAAGTGCCCTCTCTTCCCTCAATGCTCTGCCAGTACTTAGTACATCCTTGATGAACTAAGGTCACCGTGTGGGAAGAAGCTCCATATCAGTCTCCATCACTATGAGGCAGTCAGGACAGGGTCATAAGTAATACATGCCCATCTCTCCATATTCTCTACTGTACTGAGTACATGCGTACAGAGGACCACAAGCACAGCTACCTGAAGGAACAGATGCTTAAAGACTTGCTAAATGCCAGCAAACTCGGGGCCGTTGATCTGTTTGCAAACCTCTGAGGTCCAGCCATCTTCTTACAGGCAGAGCTTCATCTAGCTACCTTTTTACCCTGCATGCCTGCTCATCCCCAGCTCCATTTATTGTAACTGGTCCTTCTGGGTTGAGT